GTAAGTCAGCCACAAGGGTTCGTCGTCAAAGGACAAGAAAGCAAAGTATACAAACTCAAAAAGGCTCTGTATGGCCTCCGTCAAGCACCGAGAGCTTGGAATCTGAAGTTAAACCAAATTCTTGTCCAGGGTCTGAAGTTTCATCGGTGCTTAAAGGAGCCATCACTCTACCGTAAGGAAATTGACAGTAAGCTTCTTGTTGTAGCCGTGTACGTCGATGACTTGCTAGTCACGGGATCATCACTCCGATTGATAGAAGAATTTAAACAGGAGATGGCCACCAGATTCGAGATGAGCGACCTTGGGATGTTAACTTACTATTTGGGAATAGAAGTTCTTCAAGGAAAAGATGGGATTGTGCTGAAACAAAACCGATATGCACTGAAGATTTTGGAGGAAACAGGTATGTCGTCATGTAACCCCACTCATATACCTATGGAGATGAACTTGAGCTTGTCTAAAGCTGACAATGAGAAAAGAGCGGATGAGAAGGCTTATCGTCGTAGTATTGGTTGTCTGCGGTACCTGCTGCACACACGTCCAGACCTGTCCTACAGTGTTGGAGTACTCAGCCGTTATATGCAGGAGCCGAAGGAGTCTCATGGAGCTGCATTAAAACATGTACTGAGGTATCTGAAGGGGACCTGTACCCTTGGACTCCGATTCAAGCGAGGAGATGAAGCAAAGCTGGTTGGTTACAGTGATAGCTCACATAACTTGGATGTTGATGATGGTAAGAGCACTAGTGGGCATATCTTCTACTTTGGAGACAGTCCTATAACCTGGTGTTCTACCAAGCAAGAGATAGTGGCATTATCAAGTTGTGAAGCGGAGTTTATGGCGGCTACAGAGGCTGCAAAACAAGCTCTGTGGCTTCAGGAGTTGTTGAGTGAAGTCTTGAACAAGACGTGCATACGACTGATGATTAAAGTGGACAACAAATCGGCAATACAACTCGCTAGGAATCCGGTGTTTCATGGTCGAAGTAAACACATACATAGGAAGTTTCACTTTATAAGAGAATGTGTTGAGAAGGAACAAATAGAAGTTGAGCATGTACCTAGCAATGAGCAAAAGGCCGACATACTAACTAAACCACTTGGAAGAACTAAGTTCGTTGAAATGAGAAGATTGATTGGAGTTGAAGATGTGGGAGAATTCAAGCTTAAGGGGGAGTATGTTGGAGTTAGCTTGAAGATGACTTGAGCAACAAGTAATATGAAATCCTAGGTGAAATATGATTTGGAGTTTTGGATAATGATAATATTGTTTTGTGTTTATCAACTAGGAAAAGGATAATGTCTATATGATATATAAATAGACATATCATGAGATCAAGTTGTGTGTGACTTGTGATTAAGATTATTGTGATTAAGCNAGGTGAAATATGATTTGGAGTTTTGGATAATGATAATATTGTTTTGTGTTTATCAACTAGGAAAAGGATAATGTCTATATGATATATAAATAGACATATCATGAGATCAAGTTGTGTGTGACTTGTGATTAAGATTATTGTGATTAAGCTTTTGATATTGAATAAGAGAAGGACTTCTTATTAACTTTGTGATTCAATAACCACCACCACCACATTCGTCCTCCCACCACCACGTTCGACCTCTCTCCCTCGTTTCCTTTTCGTATCTCTGTATCTCCTCTCTGTTTTCCTCTTATGAATCTGATTTGTTTTTGTTTTCGGTAAAGATATGAGGCGGCTGTTAGTGGTGGTGGCTTGAGGACGCAAAATTCGTGCTGGCCTAGAGGAGGCAAAGCTCATGGCTCTTGGAAGAGGGGCAAGGCTATGGAGGAGGTGGCTGCAGTCTTAGTTTTCTAGGTTTAGTTTTTTTTTTTTTTTTTAGATTTGGTTTAGTGTAAACTAGGTTAGGAAAATTGTAGTGGTCTAATTTTATTTTTTAATTTCTGTTTTAGAGCACCTCTAACGAGAGTCATTAGGGGAGTCTTTATGGAAAAATAATTAAATAATCAGTAGATCCCATAAAAAGTTAAGGATTCGATCCTTAAAATCCATAAATAAAAACTGTTTCTTATCGAATTCTTGCACTATTTGCGGGTCTCCACGACACGTGGCATCCCGCAATTGGTTGATATATATATATATATATATATATATATATATTTATTTAAATCTGAAAAAAAATAATAATTAAAAAAATAAAAATTAGTTTTCTAAGGACTCCAACGGGTAACACCGTTGGAGGTGCTCTTAGTTATGTAAACCAAAATTAATTTGTAACCTAATTTTAATTTATAAATAAAATTTGTTTCGCTTTCGGTATAAATTAATTTTCAATTATTTTATTATAATTATAATTATTTTTTTGGTTTATTGTAGAAAGATCTATCATAGCACAAATATATGAATCGTAATCAATTTGTAACAAAAAAATAGTGTTATATTAAAGTTAATAACATCATTCAACTATTGCTATTATATGTAACATTAAATAGCATCATCGAAAAGTGCCATCGTAAAGAAGATACCTATGATGGCTACCGATTACATGGCAGATGGTAAAACTCTATGAAAGACCTACTATAGCGTTAATCGTGAGCTAAGCATGTTAATATTTCTTGTAGTGTTTATAAATTTGTTGTATCATGTTTTTCATATTGTTCGTATTTATTTGGTTATTTGTCATTGGCTCTCGCAGAGATCCGAGTTTTGTAGAAAATTAGGGTTTTCCTAAATTTCCTTATTTTACGGAAAATTGACAGTTGGGTTCCACACTTACCAATAAAGATTATTATGATATCTTTATCAGAAGACAAATAGTTATGTCATAGTGTTACAAATAGTTATGTAATAGTTTTACCAAAAAAATAGTTATGTACTAAGTTTTTTGGACTAACTATTTTAATGTACTAAGTTTTCAAAACATCAATATATTATGATCAGATGATGCTTTGTGAAGAAAAAAGTTGTTTACTATGCAAACTGAGAAATTAGTTGCGTTTAAGTGTTATTTATTTGTACTTGTAGTATCTGACATAACATATAGTTAATCAAATATATTCTAAATGTAGAGAAACAATAGTCGTAATTTGGTTTCTTTGAAATGGTAACACGTTAATAGAATAGTTTAGAGATGCTTCGCCCAGTTTACAGGTTCATTTTGGTTTGAATACTTATTGCTCGACTAAGAAATAAAATAATCAAACTGAAAACAATATATATTTGTGGATTGATTATCTTCTCAGTTTTAAGGGAAAACAATAATTCGAATTATAAAGATCCAAAATATAAGTTAGTGCAAGTTCTTATAGTGGTACATAGAGGATTAGATTACCAATCAAGAATCATGAAAAGATGAAAGCAAATTAGACGAGAATTAACTAGAGGTGTAATTAAACAAGAATGAGAAAAAAAAATTAAACAAGAATGACAAAAAAAATTAAACAAGAATGAAATTGCAAACATGATTTTGGGGTCTTGAGTTTTGGCGACAATGTTAATCAAATATTCAGAGTTACGTTTACTCATAAGAGTTGCGTGTTCATATGCAAATACAAACATGTTTTATTTGACATATTCATATTGAGTGAGTTAGAAAAATTAAAAATTGACAAGGTATCACTATGATTGTACATATATTTAAGAAAAGGCATCATCGACATTGATAAACTTATATGGGCGTTATTTCTTGTATTGGGTTGGGTCATTACATTAGTAGGCTTAAATCGTCATGCAGTATGAACGACGCCGTAATGCTCATTTAGCCACTATGGTTTTGACGAATGTGGATAGCTGAAGTCCACTTCTGCCCTTGTCCTTGATCATCCTCCCTTCTCATAATTGTTTGCAAACTCCTGATATAGTCTCTGACTAAAGGAGAAATACGTATCTACACTAGTTCCAGCCCATTGCTGACAAAAGTTTTCATTGTTTGGAACCAATGAGCTTAGAAGGGAATGGTCGTACACTGGATATTTAGTGAAAATGTGCACTTTATTTTTCAGTTACCCATTTGACAAGTATTATGAGAGCAAATCTTCTAAAGAGATTTAAGCTTCACACAAAGACGAGATTCCCGACCCAAATTCAGTCGACGTGGACCGATATAAACAGGCAGTTTCCGGAATATAGTTGGAGATTACATGGAAAATTATAGTCGGAGATGTCAATAATTAACTAATATACTGCTCGTAATCTATACTATTATTTGAGAAGTGATTTTTCGCAACGGAGCTCCCACATTAAAAGTTAGAGCGGTTAATATCGTTTATACCCTTAATGAATAAGATATATGAATTAATTAAATATAAAAACGAATTTAAATTTATTTAATTAGATAAGTTATTTTAAATAATAACAATAAGAGTTATCCAAAAGCTAAAAATATAATTTATTTTTAAAAGATAATTCCTATATATATTGTATTGTTATCCGAAAACTATCTTTTGATAAAATATTTAAAAATTCAAAAGCAGAAAACAAATAATTACATATTAATTAATTAAAATTCTTAAAAAAAATTCAAAATGAAAACACAAATAATAATTTATGCTTCTAATTTTTTATGATTAATATATTTACTAACAAATAATTATAAAAGGTTTAAGCCCGCATGGCGGGCAAAACACCTAGTTAATCATGTAAAATCGATTCAGTTAATCTTTTGATTATTCCTAATGGATGGATATTGCAGCTATAGTCACACCTTTCGTATTATGAACTCAAACAATAAAGTATTATGAAATTAAAACTGCATTGTGAAGGTTCAATGACAATGGTCGTCGTCCTATAATTAGAACTAAAGATTTTAAGTTAAAGTTATGCGATCAAATCATCAAACTCCAAAAGTAAAGAACGTGATCTCGCTAAGATCATTTGGAGAAAAAATAGGCATAAGTATTGGAGTCACTTAGATTTGTATTAATCATACAGACTCACAATACGAGTAAATAAGAAAAAAAAGAACACATGTATATATATGTGCTCTTTAAAATTCTGAAATCTTTGAAGGAGGTTGCTTGATTAATTATGCTTTGCCTTTGGGCTGACAGTCCGCCGCACACATATCGTATGTAAGTGTACAGAATCTCTCCTTTCCCAAACAGCAATAACATTTAAAGTTTCCAGGCACACAAGTTGCTGGAAAGCACGGTGGTAAATGTATCCTGCTTGCCTCAAAGCCCTCCATGTTTCTACCTATTATATAATTAAAGCAATGATATGAGCGTGATTAGAATCATGATAATGATGAAAGTTGATGAACAAACCCTGAACGAACATGGATATGTACTTACTTTCAAGACGACCACAAACAAAAACGAGGATGATGCAAAAGATAGCGCAACTGGATGAGGACATTGTGATATTTAACTCTTTTCACAAAAATGTGCCTTAATTTGTTATATGATGATCAAAAAAAATATTATATATATATATAGAGAGATTTTTTTTTCTTATTATTGGTACGTCTTTTGTATGGTAGTCAATGGAAAAACATATGAAATAAAATTTGTTTTGACTACCTTTAGTTCCAAAATCATTATAATACTATTTGATAAGTCTGAATCCTATGTGTAGCTCTCATATTGATTCTTATAATAGTTAATGACAATGATAACTTTAATTAATTTAATTTATTATTAAAATGTCATTGTTAATATCTTTTATTAACTTTTTTGCTTATATTTATTTCCAAATTATATTATTATCAAAAAGGTAATAATATAAATTTATATAGTATTTTTATATTTTAAAGGACAACTAAATTTTGACCCGCCCTCTAAGACGGCGGGAATATGTTTTGTTTTATATATTTATTTTTTACTCAAATGTTTTATATTTGTGTTTTTCTTTGTAAGCATATATATGTGTTTTTATTTATAATTATATTTGTATATAATATATATATTTAATTCTTTCTAAATTTTTTGATAATTATATTGAATTAGTGATGTTGTATAACTATACATTTGTCCCATATCTATTTTACAAATTATTTTTTTACTTTAATCGTAAATGGATATTAAAAAACAAAGTATAATCATGAACTTTGTTTATTAAGCAACTCAACATAATTATGGAATTTTCATTAAAATTTCATGATTTGATTTCATATATTATAACATTATAGGACACATAATATTACAAATAATGTTACAGAAAACAAAAAATAAATATTATACATTAGAATTTGTTAGGCAATTAAAAATGGGGGTTTTAAATCCTGGCCCATGGCCCAATTGTTTATAATCTCGTGACAATACATGATAGTGTGTCTCAGTTTAATCTTTTTTTTGTCGGTATACAAAATCAATTTAATACATTTTGTTTATTAAAAAAAGTGAAGGCCTCATGTGGTTTATTTATAAATACAAAATCAATTTAATACATTTTTGTCGGTATACAAAATCAATTTAATACATTTTCCAGAACAATCTTCGTAAATAAAAAAAAACTTTGAGTCTCTCTCAAATAGCAATCAAACGGATGAATGATAATTTCATCATCACCGATTTATGAAGGTATAATACGAATCTCTTTTTTGTTGATCAATAGATCGAAACTTTATATAAATCAGTGTTTACAAACTAAAAGTTAAATTTTTTTTTCACTTCTCCAGAAGGTTGCATGTGAAGTCAGTTGATAGATCTATAACTCCGATGATAGATCTGTTTAATCAGATGAGAAATCTGTTGTTTTTCTTTATGTCCGAAGAGGATCTAACAAAAAAAAGTACCTCTCAATACAAAACCAAGCTCGGACTCCCGTATCTTGATTTTTCTTTTTTTTTTTCAGGTAAAAAGAGTTTCAACATATATTTATCTTATATGCCCCTATAACTTGAAATCTAACCCTTTTTATTATTGGATTTGAAACATTGCATGTCGGAATATTATATCTTCTTTTTAAATTTTCTGGATCTACATGTTTTTAATTGTCTTCCATTCTCCAATCACACATTTACTACCCAAACTAATCAACTTTTTCTGGATCTACATGTTTTCAATGGTCTTCCATTCTCCAATCACACATTTACTACCCAAACTAATCAACTGATTTTGTCTACACATTACGGAGATTTTATCACCCTGCATTATAAAAGTATAATATAGCTAAAAAATCAACCTCTAACATTAAGATCTCATGCAATTCAGTTAGAAGTAGAAATGATTTGATGACCTTTTTGTCAGCAAAGATGATTTCGAGAGATTCACCAAAGGCTTGGTTGAATTGCTTCCAGGTGTGGATTGTTTTGACTTGAATACACCAATCTCTTCTGCGAGGTTTCAACTGTGAAAGGTGAGATATTTTTTGGGAAGTTTTCATTTTTTTTTGCTGCGTAAGATTGTGGATGTGGTGATATTTAATAGTTAGATCAATGGTCGTATATATATGGAAGAATAAAAACATGCAGAAGTTAAAATCGATGTTGAAAATTATTTTTAAAAAAATATTTGTAAAAGTATATCTGGGAGAATATCCCAATATGAATATTGATCTATGCTCCCAATATTTTGTGTAAAGATCCGAAGTCGGTTAGAAAATTTGTTTAGTGAATATGGGCACATGATTCTCGGAACAGAGTTTGTTTACAAAGAAGTTATGGTATAATATCTATTTATTTTTATTTTTTTTGTCCCTATTTTTGAGGGTTGGTGAATATGGGCACATGATTATCGGAATTGTGTTTCGTTTAGATGTTACTGTTTGTTAGGAGGGTTTAGCATATCTCTCATAAGCTTATTTGATGTATGTTGGGCTCAAATATGACCCGTTAGCTGAAATTAACAGGCTCGAGTAATAAGAATTGACAATGGGCTATTATAAGCCCAGTAGCAATTAAGTCTTTGAGAAAGGAGTTAAGAAGAAGCCGGAGGCTGTTTTGCTAAGGAAGAAACGTTAACAAAACAGGTCACGGAAGAGAACTCCGGATCTCATTTACAAAGAGCTAGTAAGAGTGGCTCAGGATGGATGCGTAGGATCCGGTCAAAAGAAGACTGTTGAGAATCCCCCAACTCACGGAACAAATCTCGAAGGTTAGCTAAGATCGTTGGAACGTGGCTGAGAGCTATTTAAGGAGGAGGAGGAGATCAGAATTGGGGGTCCAGATTTTATTCATTATTTGCACATTCTAGAATTCTACAAACATTCTTTATCCTTTGTAATCACAAATCGTTACGCTTGTAATCATCTTTTACAAAAACATTCAATACAATCATATTCATTCTTTAAGTTCTAAACAGGATTCAACCCACGTTATCTTCTCTCCAATCTAAACCTGATCTAAATTAGGAAGTGAGTTTTATCCCTCACATTTTGGCGCCGTCTGTGGGGACGAGATAATTGAATCCTTTACTCCGTAACTTGAGAAGGGATCCATTCAACCAGGCAACGAATCCATCTATCCCTGATCCCGTAATCCAGATCGACGGCTCACCGAATAGAAGAGACTCGGATCTTCAGGACCCAGAGCCTCGATCCGCCGATCACCGATCTGAGCAACAGCCTCCGGCTAATGCTCAACCGAACCAGACCACCACTGGGATAACTAACCCGAGATCCTCCAGTGGAAACAACTCTGGGGTTACAGCCCCCGAGAACCCTCAGCGTCAACCCGCTCTGAACCAATCAGAGGCTCAGCTATCTGAGATGCGTCAAATGATGGTGCAGTTGGTAGATATAGCTCAGGAGAATGAGCGTACGTTGCAACAGCTAACTGCTCGGCAGCAACGATTCGAAGAGGTAACTAGATCTCTGACCGAGACGACCCAGCCACTACAACGTCATCAAGGCTCGAGAGTCACTTTCCGAGATCGATTGACCGAACCCACGTTCCCTCGCGGACGTCTAGATTTTTCCCCTAACAGCACTGCTCAAGATGGGTAAGAATCTGTTCTCCGGACACCTCATGCTGGAACAACCCCGGCATTAAGTCCACCCGTAACCAGCGCTATGGGAAGTAACATAGCAACAACAAGCTCTGCGCCCAATCGGATTACTGAACAGAGCACACGTTTACCACCTCCGCCACCTGTTTTCAGGTCCGGAGAAGGAATATATTTCCCTCCTGGAGGAAGAGCATCAGCTTTGACTTATCAAACTGGGGGCACAATCCCGAATCGAGATGGTCACCAGAGGACGGAAGCTGATCCTACAGCTCACCCTACTGGTCGCATCCCTCAAAACAACCCTAGAGCTAGTGAACAATTTAGCCTACCAAACGCCTGGGAGAACGACCAAACTCGACTCCGTCAGGAATCTCCCCGTCAGATTCATAATGACGACCCAACTATCCTCCCTCTAAAGGGACCTGAGGCCATCCGCAGATATATGGAGCAAACTCATGCAGCTCTCCAAAAGTTGAATGCTCAAGTCCACAAGGCTACGAGTTCAGCTCCCGAAATCGAGAGCTTGATTGAGGAAACCCGTGGGACCGCATTCACAGACAGAATCGCTAGCTCTTACATAAGAGATACCCAAAAAATCAGGATTCCCGAATATGATGGGACCTCAGATCCTAAGGCTCATTTGAGAGCCTTCCGAATAGCTATCGTTAAAGCTCACTTCACGAGAGAAGAATGTGAGGCAGGTTACTGCAGGACATTTGCCGAAAACCTGGTCGGAACAGCTCTCGAATGGTTCTCTAGCCTTGAGCCGAACTCAATAGACAATTTCGACCAGCTCACCAACGCCTTCATGAAGCATTACTCGACCCATATCCTAAAGCAAGCTTCCGAGGCCGACCTCTTGAAAATCAGACAAGGAATGGGGGACTCATTACGGGTCTATATCGAAAAATTCATAGCAGTGAGAACTAAGCTCTCGAATCCTAACGACCAGGTTGCCATAGAAGCCCTTAGAAGAGGCCTCTGGTACAAATCAGAGTTCTGGTCCGAGCTAACGCTCAATCCTCCCCCCAACTATCGATGATGCCCTTCACAAAGCATCTAGATATATTACCTTGGAAGAGGAAACAGCTGCACTAGATAAAATCCATAAGAAATCTCAAAATCACCCGAAAGGTGAAACCTCGGAAGCAAAAGGATCTTCTAAAAAGGGGAGCTTCCGAATTAATCACATCCAAGGAGAACATTCTTATGCAGTCGAGGAAGTCCAATAGGAAAAACCTGTTGCCGCGACAAGCAAAACCCCCTGGTCAAAAGGCTACGATGAGAACAAACACTGCTCTTATCACGATCGAAAAGGACACTCGACTGAGGAATGTTGGGACCTCCAACGATAGTTGGCAGCTAAATTCATAGCTGGAGAGCTAAAGGACGTGAAACTCAAAAAACCACCACCCTACCAGAAAAGAGGTCCCAGAGATACCTCTCCGAGGCGCGAAAGGTCACCTGAGA